TCTGTCTCTCTCTCTCTCGCTCTCCCTACCGTTAGGTAACTTGTGCATTGTTTTACTTACTTGTTTTTTACATATCCGCATGAACTACAAACTTTCCAGTGATGTCTGTGAGAAAGGTATATTCACTCGACAAGCTTGCGCATCTGCGCCGCCGCGCGCTCAATCCACTCAGCGTGCTTTTTTTTATCAGCTCGCGCACTTCAGCTATACAGGCGTTAATACTGAATGTTTAACATTATATTCATTGCATACATATACTTCGTAGTAGACACCCTTAACTCCTTTCTGCTGTCTGTTGTTCTGTTGTCCGTGTTTCTTTGTCTGAATATGGCGCTTATCACATGCTGTGTGGTATCGGCGTTTGGTATCGGGGCATTTTAACGAGTACGAGTACGAGTACGAGTACAGGAGACCAGTATCGGGCCCGATACCCATCCCTAGTTAATATTAATAAATTAAAAAGGATAATAAATTAATATATATAAAAAAGACTAATTACTTAATAACTATTACAATTAAAAGCTTAAAATATAATACATGTAATGGATTAAAGGGTTAACTCTGTTATCATAAATGTTAAGAAAGTAAATATACAATAAATTATAAAATTTAATAAGTAATTAAACATAATATAAAATTAAATGTGTTACAATTGTTTAAATTTAATTTATTGAAATATTATATACAATATAAAATATATAAAAAAATAATTAAATGAATAAATAAATTAAGTAAATACATTATTTATAAAAATATATAATTTCAATAATTATAATGAATAAATGTTATATTATAAGATATTACAAAATGTAATATTATAAGATCACAGCTGTTCACATTTGCATTGTGGGATACATTATCACCAGCAAAATATGCTCTAGTTGTAACTGCACATTTCATATTTTTGTACAAGTCTATTATTTTATGGCTTATTAGCAAACAGTGCAAATCCTTCATGAGCAGAATGATGGTGTGTTATTATGAACACGCTCTCAGACTGATTAGCTGCTATAAATGAGAGTTAGCATTACCGGTGACGGAGGGGAAGAAGATCCCGATCAGCAGCGTGAAGGAGGTGGTGATGTCAGCGAACACGTAAGGAAAGTGATTGGACACGGCGGCTCTGTGGGCGGAGTGATGCGAGCCGCGCTCCAGGACGTCTCCTTTAGCAGAGTACGAGCTCCAGATGTTGTCTAGACACGGCAAACACATGTGCGTTAGGTGTGAGCGCGAGCGCCGCGTGTCTGCGCTACAATGCGAGCGCGTCTCACCTGCGATCACGCCGCTGGTGAGTCCCGGGATGCCCTGGATCTGCGAGACGTTGTGGTGCAGGAAGTACTCGTCGCACACGGCGCTGAGCTCCGAGCCGTTGCAGAAGAGCCGCCACAGGTGCGTGGTTTTCTCCTGCGCGGCGGCGGCGCTGACGGGAGGAGCGTCTGTGCCGTTGAAGCTCTCACTGGTGTTAGCGGCCTCCTGCGGCGGCAGCAGCGTCTTCACGCAGTGACCGTCCTTCAGCTCGTGCTGAGCGAGACTCCTGTTTCCCAGCATGCACACGCTGCAGGACACGAGCTCACAATCACGCACTCTTACAACAAACTGCTTGAGATGTTCGTAATCTGTGGAATCACTTTGGACGAAAACGGCTGCTATATGTGACCCTGGACCACAAAACCAGTCATAAGGGTCAATATTTCGAAATTGAGATTTATACATCATCTGAAAGAATAAATAAGCTTTCCATTGATGTATGGTTTGTTAGGATAGGACAATATTTGGCTGAGATACAACTATTTGAAAATCTGGAATCTGAAATCTAAATATTGAGAAAATCAGCTTTAAAGTTGTCCAAATTAAGTTCTTAGCAATACATATTACTAATCAAAAATTAAGTTTGGATATATTTACGGTAGGAAATTTACAAAATACCTTCATGGAACATGATCTTTACTTAATATCCTAATGATTTTTGGCATAAAAGAAAAATCAATAATTTTGACCCATACAATGCATTTTTGGCTATTGCTACAAATATACCCCAGCGACTTAAGACGGGTTTTGTGGTCCAGGGTCACATATCTCAACAAGACCAGATGAAACTTCTAAATTATCTAAGCTAACAGAGTGTGTT